ACTACTCATATAAAAAATAATATCATAATATAATAACTTATTACTAATAATTTACTAATTTACACTACTTAAAATACCGTATTCCTAATTAAAGAGGTCATTTTGACCGGACATGAGGGAGAATAATATTATATTTTATAATTTATATATTATAGTGTATTATTTTGTATATATATATATATATGTGTGTGTGTGTGCTTATTACGTTGAATGTAACACCCGCACATTAGAGGATTGGTCTTTGGCTATTATTTTATGTAAAATTATTATAGAATATTATTGTATATTGTATTATCATGGGTTATCATGTATATGTTGTTTGTGCTTACTGATCAATTATTTAACCCAGTCAACATGAAAACGGACTGTATATTAACATATATTATATGTTATCTAATTATATTGTATATGTTATCGAGTTATATTTTATATACTATCAATGCCATATATATTAGATGCATTTTTAAATATATATATATATTGAATATTATTCAATAAAAAATGAAGTAAATAAAAATAATGTGAACAAAAATGCCATATTTGTAATGAAATTTTCTCATTGCAAATCGTAAGCAAGTTTTTCGTTTCCATCATTGTTTGCGATAAATACCTAATGAGTTGCAAACAAAATTGTCGCAAAAATTAGGCGATTGAAAGTCCGTCGCAAAATTTTGCGACATGAAATGCAAGGGATAATTTTCTTGCAAAACTGAGCTACAGGAATCCATCATCACTTTGGACTTTGCAATGGAATTATTCCCTAAAGTTTTGAATTTTTTTTGTTTATCCAATTATTACAAACAATATATATATAGATATTAAAATGAAAATTAATTCATTAAACTAATTAAAATCGAATCACAATAAATATACATAACAAAATTTTATGATCGACAACACCAAATCAAAATTTTATACAAATGTACACTACAATAAATTTCAAATTATGAATAATACATATTCAAAATAAGTAGATCAACCGACATGTAGCACAACATAATCACTATCGGGGCCTCGTCTGTCTAGCCAGGCCTTGATATTGTCGAGCTACTCCATGATGGTAATACTAAAACCCACCAACTTGTAGGGCTAATATTAACTATTCCCTAATTCATAATGACCGAGTCTTTTTTTTTTTATTGGCATATTGTATATTGTATTTTTCATAATGCCAGTAGTTGGATTATACAACCCGCAGTTGAAAACAACACTCTACTCGATTGGCTGCACTGAAACTCAATCTCCAAAATTTATTTAATATGGTCGTAATCCTCTAAACCGTTGTTATCTATGTAGAAGTTTTTTACAAAACAGTTGCCCTCAAGCATCATGTTACGCATTAGTTGGCATTGGACGTCAAATCATCGCTCAAACTAGTTGAAGTCAGCCTTAATATTCAGCATTCTTGCCACTACTGACACTAGTGTTGCCTTCGTGCAACCAGCCTATAATTTTTCATCAGTAGTTTGAAAGAAATCGTACAATTTTTTATCTTCAATGTTATGCGTGCCTCAATTATGAGCCCTCCGACATCCATCACAATATATATATAATCTTCTATCTTCGTGTCAATTGTATTATCAAAGTTCACTCTCTCCAATTGTTGAGAGCTACCACTTTTGTCATATTCCTTACATGATATGTATATTTATTGTACAATACAAAATCTCTAGAGTATAGATTGTACTTGACTTCATTAACCGATATAGCGTTGGATATTGCAATTGTGCAATTTGAGACGGAATAATTCCATCGCACATTTCCGTTGCAGATTTTGTTATATGAAATCCAACATGTTTTTGTAGTGCTAAAACTATATTTAGGGTGTGTTGGGTTACGATTTCAAATTTATTTCAATATGCATAGTTCATAATAAAAATATACTCTTTTCATCCCAATTTAATAGACATATTTTTCATTTTTGTTTGTTCAATGACAATCGACACTTTTTTTATTTTTGGTAAAAGTTATTAAATTATAATATACTTAACAAATATAAATTAACTTAATTAACTATATAATATATCATATCATACATAAGTAGAACTCACTCAAAACTCTTTTATTTCTATCTTTCTTTTAAAAAAACTAAAATTTTTATCTACCTTTAAAACTTCAATCTCTTTTATAAAATTAATTTATATTAACTATAAATAAAGAAACGTATTTATTTATTTATTTTTACTATAGAAAATTTTATTCTCTTACAAAATAATATTCATATTGCATATATTTTTATTACGATATAAATTTTAAAATATTTAAATACATATTCTAATTTTTTTAATTATATATATTAAATTTATTTTAAAATTATCAATATTATTAATCATATAAGAAATAATAAAATAATATTATAATTCACTATTATTAACTCATTAATCATCATTATGGTAAATACCGTATCATTAATAAAATGTATCAATTGAGCTCAGACGAGAGGAATATTATTTGTTGTCATAACATGTCATATTAAAACATTATTTAAATCAAAACTCAAATTTAAATCTCAAATAAAATAAAATAAAATAAACCCTTTATTTTCTATAAAAATATACATACAAATGTAGAGTACATGATGGTCAAGATAATATATATATATATGTAGAATACATATATTAATATTTCCTCTTTCCAAATACAGTACATTTTTTTTTTCCTTATATTATTTTTTTAAAAAAAAATAATACCAAAGATAAAAATATCAATCATTATCTACCTATATCAAAATTTGTAGCAAAATGTATGAGCATATTCTTACTTAGAATAAAGTCTTTTGTTTTTTGGTAGTTAGTGGAGAGTGAAAGGAAAAGGGAGAGGAGTTTAAAAATGGATGGTATGCATACGCGTGTTTGTCAGTTTGATTTAATATGTCACAATGAATGCAGAAAATAATGGTAATTGATTGGTTTCCAGAAACTCTCCCAAACAGGACCCCTACCGGTCCTCCAATTTTAATAATTATACTTAAAAATAAAATATCATACATATATATATATACTAAAAATACATACAGTGCCTTACAAAATACATTTATGACAAAACTTTTTTGGTATATTATTTTATTTATTTAAATTAAATGAAACCCACTCCCGGACAAAATATATTCATATCAATTTGTAAATAATATAAAAGTAGAGGCTCTGATTTTGGAACGTGCAACTGTGGAAAATTATTATATTATTTCTGTATTTATCATTTTCGTAGTTTTGTCCTTATTTTATGGAGCATGTTCTTTATAATATTAAAATAATTTAATTTCTTACAAAATATGTATTTTATAATATAATAAAAATTATTATTATTATAATTATTGTGTTTGGCTTGAGTTATTTTTATGAAAAAGATATGTTTTACTTATATAAAATTTTTTAAAATTATTAAAATATTGAATATTTTAAAACAACTATTCATCATTCCAAATTCATGCTATTTTTTCTTTTGTTGCTGCTATTTAAAAATATTATTTTTTCTCTTGATATTTTTTTTTTCGTACTTTTTAACTATAAAAATAAAAATTATTATTATTATTATTTTATTAAAATTAATGTCCAACCATTTCAGCACAAATTTAAATGACTTAAGAGTATTTTATTAAGATATTTTATGAAAAATATATTTTTTAATTGAAACAATGCAATTTGAATAGAGATGTTTTATATTAAAAATAAAAAACAAATATACATTGTATCCAAAATATTATTATTTTAAAAAATATTTTGTAAACCCAAAACAACTCTAGAACATAAACCAGAATGATGTTTTCTTTTTGTGTTTTATAAATTTTAATTTTTAGATGAAATAATAATCAAATATATTGTTTTATATAGATATACGTACATACATATATTTTTATTACAAGTTAGCGTGTTTGTTTTGTAAAATAATTTGAAGAGATATTTTTGTATATAAAATATAAAGAATCGTACCATTAATATAAAAATAATGAGTATATGTAATGTATTAATTTTTTTTAGGAAATTTGTTAGAAAAGAAAATAAAAGTGATGATTAATTAGTGACGGAACCCAAATATAATTAGAGATGTGATAAAAAATTTTAATTTTATAAAATATTTTTCTTTATAAAATAATATGTTTTATTTTATTATAAAATAGTAAACTACATGAGCATCAATAGCTATATATTGAGATCGATAATGCCACTATATATAATAACATAAATTGTTTTGAATATTACATCACTTATTTAAAATATATTTATATTATAAGAATAGTAGATTGGATAATACTACGTAATAAATTGTTTACATATTTATTTTTGTTGGTAATGAAATATAATTTGGGAGTAAATTCACTCTTCCCTCATACCCTACTTGAGGATAAGATCACATAAACAAATATTTATGTTTAAATAAGAGTAACCATTCTGTCCATTTGCTCCCCAACAAAATGAGTCATTTTTTATTTTATTTTATTTTTTATGTATATATATAAATAGAAAAAACATTTAAAATATTTAATAACGCCTCCGCAATTTGTGCATTTAAGAAAAATCGATCTTTCTTGAGGAATAAAAAATAATAATAATAAAAATACTTATTACGTAGTGACGAATTAGCCGTAGAAAAATATTATAAAAAATACTTATTACATAGTAGTATTATATAAAATTAAGTAGCAATTTGTTGGTCAAATTTAATTAACAACATATTCATTTTATTAATTATATTTTTAACTTTGTATTGTTTATTAATATTTTTTAAAATATTAAATTTAATATCTATTTTATTTAAAATATTTATACTACTTTATAAAGTTACACTAATCCTTGTAACTCAAAAAAAAAAAAAAGTTCCAGTCATTTCACTTTATGTGACACTAATAAGGGCATAGTAGTCATTTCAGTAAACTTAAATAGGCCCCACATAGTTATTTTTTATTTTATTTATTAAAATATAACTCTGAAGTCATCATTGTACAAAAGATATATATATATATTTCATATGTATAAATAGGGCATAAACTGTAAACTCACTCATATTCACAAACCCCAAAATTACAAACCAATTTGGGCATCCAAACACGCCCTTATCATGGACCAGGAGATCCTCCTCCTCAGCCTCTCTCAAATTCCCTCCACCGCGTACTCCGGCGGCTCGCCGCCGTCTCCCTCCAACAACGACGCCGCCGGCGATTGCTCCAAGACAAAAGTCCACGGCCAAATGGGCGGCAACGACGGCGCCAAGCGGCTGAAGGGAGGTGGCGCCGCCGCGGAGGAGAAGCACCCGACCTACCGCGGAGTCCGGCGGCGGAGCTGGGGCAAATGGGTCTGCGAGATCCGGGAGCCCCGGAAGAAGTCCAGAATATGGCTCGGGACTTACCCAACCGCCGAAATGGCGGCGCGGGCGCATGACGTGGCGGCTCTAGCCATCAAGGGCAAGTCGGCTTACCTAAACTTCCCTCACTTGGCTCACGAGCTGCCGCGCCCGGCTTCGACTTCGCCCAAGGACATCCAAGCCGCCGCCGCCAAAGCCGCTGCGTTCACATTGATCGGCGCGGGAGCCGAGCCGGGCTCTCATTCCTCGACGGAGAAGATTCAGGAGCTCTCTAATTCGGCTTATTCGACTGACGACGACACATTTTTCGACTTGCCGGATTTGCCCCTGGAGAGCTCCGATTATAGTGACGGCTACTGCTGTATGGCTTCTTCGTGGCAGCCGGCTGGAGCCGACGTCGGCTTCCGGCTCGAACTTGAAGAACCTTTCTTGTGGGAGTGCTACTAATAAAGTGAAGTAATCTTTATATTAGTAGTATTGTAATTTATTTATTTTTATATAATAATATTAATTATCATTTAATTCGTGTACATTAATTATATTCGAAAATTAAATAAATAATTATTTATGTGCAAGTAATTTGTTACTATATTTTAAAAATTTGTTGGAATATCAGCTCATGCTAAAATTGATTAGATGAATTCATATTAGCCATTGTATAATTAATCACTACATATATATTTTTTTATTGAATTACATATATATATATATATATTATTCTCGATTTTGAATGCATTTATATTTAATTAGGAATGTATGAATAAAACTTTTAGGTCAATTTTGTAGAGTTTGAATTTAAGAATTTCAATATGTAATTAATTAATTAATCTATTTGTAATTTAATTTTAATTTATGTAATACCCTCGAAATTACTTTCTTAATTTATTGATAATTGGTAACTTTTATTGATCATGTGATTAAGACATTTTTGGACATATGTTAAAGCTTTCGAAAAATCATATTTGTATGTTTAATTTGCAATGGAATCCTAAGATATTCTTCCAGTTTAATTATTGTTAAATGTTGCTGTTTTTATATATCCATCAAGTATATACTGAAATATTATTTTATTAAATAAGATTCAATCAATTGTGAAGATTACATATTATATATTTATTATTATTATTGTTTAATTTGATTATAGAGACAAATATTAAATATCCTTGGCCCCAACAATATCTTCTTTATTTATTTATTTATCTTATACTTTATGATTATGGTTCAACAATAAAATTAAAAGTATCCCTATATGCAAAAAAGTTATTTATATTTTATAAGTGCTTTAAAATAAATTAATTACAACAAAAGGATATATCAAAGCTAAATAATTGCATAAATTAGGTTTCAGGGGGACTAACGCATTATTAAATTATTATCCATAAAATCAAAATTGAAAATTAGAATATAATATATAATATATAAACACAAATATACAATAAAAAGTTTGAAATAATAATGAATTTGTTCCCCAAGCACTTTTCTAGATGATACAATTTTCAATGGATACTATAAAAAAAAATATATACTATTATTTACATAATATATATTTTATTCAATGAAAAAAAATAAAAATACTATTCAATACAAAATGATAATTTTTAATTTTACTAGCGTGATTTTTAATATCTAATATGAAAATATATATATATCCAAAAATACAAAATGTACAAATGTGTTTGTGATGTGATTAAGAAAAATATTTGTATAAATAAATAAATTATTAAAATGATTATGGGCACCAAATAAATAATTATCATTGAAAAAGAATGTGTATGTATGTAGTTAGTTGTTGATTGTTGGTGTTTTAATTAAATCAAAAGACTATTTTAGTGAAAGCATTTAGGCACTAATTAATTATTAATTAATTAATTAATGATATATCATATCATATCATATTCGTCTTCCAACACGTTTACACCAAAGAATCACTAAAGATGATTTGCCTCAAGATCTTCTATCATATAATTAATTAGTCCCACAAATAAAATAAAATAAAATAATATTATATGTGATTGCATCCAAAATCAATCTCAAAATTATGAAAATATTTTATTTTATGATGAAAATAGTTTATTATAAACGGTTTGTTTGCTTTGAAATTTTATTTATTTATTTTAATGGAGTAGTTCATATCAATGATTTGGAGTGTGTTTGGTTATCAATTCAAACTCATTTCCAAATTGTATTTAACATTAAAAATATTTTTATATTTGTATAATTTTTTATACAAATATCATTATAATAGTATTATAAGACATTAATATAAGTATTTTTTGTCATTTTTTTATTTGTACTACGTTTTCATAAAATAATTAATATTCAAATATTGATACGCAAAAAATAAATGAGAGTCTTAGAACCGGATGAAAGTAATATTATTTATTCTCATAAAATATTACATCAAAATACCATTTAAATCAAAACATAATTCATAACTGTTAAGATGATCAAAAATCTCATCATCTATTTTTGGCGTATTGACAAAACCTCTTTATATTGCTGTGGTCGCTGGTTACCAAAAACAGCAATATTGGACTCAGCTAGTGCAGTCCAATCAAGCAGACATTTTGTCCTTCCTTGAATGGTGGCTGCTCAAGACAAAATGGACAACTTGAATTTGTCCTTTTGTGGTCAGAACTGATTAGATACAACACAATACTTTATTTGTATCAAAGAGAATTAATTACATGTCAAATCATGGTTGTTGTGGTTGCTTAACACAACTCGAGATTAGTGGGAAGATAGTAGAGTGGTTTTTGAGAGAGTGTGTAGTGAAAGAAATATTGTATCAATTCTCTCAACCTCTTTCCTCTCATCTCCATGCATTAAGTGAAAGTGAGTTATATGCACTATTATCCAGCCGGAGAAGTTCTGTGGTCGAAGGGAAATCGGAGTTCCGATCAGGAAAACATTCAAAATATGAGCAGTCCAGCTATGTGTTAATTGTTAGTACGCGTTTGTAACTACTTATGTCTGTTGAGGGAATTTCCTAGGTAATTAGCTTGTAGTTTGGGTAGAAGGAGGTTTGAGTGTTTTGTTATTAATCAGCACTGATTAATGAACCTCTCCTGAATTGGTATCCCCGGATGTAGGATGGTTTATATCCGGACCGGGTAAACAAATAACTTGTCATTTATTACTTTGAAATCCTTGTATTTATTTTATTGACGAATCGCCGTTATAATTGTGATATAACTACGCTTCGGGAGTTGGCCTATTTGAATAAGTGTACGAGAATTTATTGGTGCAGCATTTATTCTTCCCCAACAATAACCCCAATTTCAAACACAAACCAACCAAATCCCCTTGATTTTGTTTACATAAATAAAAATATCTTTGTTATTTCTTATTTATTAAATATAAATATATATATCACATTCAAACTACTATTCAAATAAAAAAATCATAATTGTTTTTTAATTACAAACTAAACACACAACTAATATTATGCGGAAGATGTCAACCACTAGATGTATTAAGTCTTGGCACGTGTGTTTGTTTGATTGATGGTTGATGTTGCGGTTAAAAGATCAGCTAAAATAGTGTAATTTGGATAATCATGATATAATATATATATATATATATCTGATTAAAATATATTTAAAATTGTGTTTAAGTATTTTAAAATCTATATTTTAGTAAAAATATACTCATTTCCTAGAGAATATATTTATACATAATATAAAAGTATGTGTTCACTCGATAGAAATATATGACATTTTGATTAATATTATAAAATATACAATATAAATATTAATATTTTGACTTTGTCAAAATTAGTAATAAAATAAATTTAATGAACTAATGAAAGAAAAAATAAAAATAAATTTCACGGACGGATAAAATATTATTTTTTCACAGATATATCATATTCAAACTATTATAATAATAATAATAATTGGGGTTTGCTTTGTTGTAATTTTAAATTAATTTAAATTAAAATATTAATTTTTATTTTTATTTAAATAATATTTTAATATAATATTATAAAAAATATAATAATAATATATTTTATTGAAGATCGTACCAAATGAATAATGGTGAGTTGTGTTTGAAATTGTAATCAAACAAACCTAAAGTACACACTTTTGTTTTAGTATTCACATGCTGATCCATAAACCTGCTTGTGCTAACATCAGTATGTACTCCCCAGTCCTTAACAAAATTCTCCATTCGTCCATGAACCGTGGCTGCTACTCTATAAATAATTATTCTATAATATAAATAATTATAAATTAAGATTAAGATAACTAATTAATTTAATTAAAATTAAAAAAAAATTAATTAAAAAATTTAAAATGAGATTAATGTAATCATTTTTTAAAAAATGAAAATGACATAGAATGTGAGACGGACAAAAACGGCAACGTGGACATGGTACGTGGGACGGATGGAGTATATTTATTTTATCATTTTAATTTATTTACAAAAAAATATTTATATCATATTTAGTAAAAAAACAAAGACTTCGTCTGTCAGTTTTTAAGGATCACATTTACTTTTTGCACTATTGTATTTAACATTAAAAATATTCTTATATTTGTATAATTTGTTGTACAAAATTTTTTCTATTAGTATTATAAGACACTAATAAAAATATTTTTGTATTTTTTTAAAAATTTATACTACATTTTAATCTAATAACTAATATTCAAATATCACTAAATGGGAAGTAGTATTAATTTTTTTCTTTTTAATTCTACCTACTATATTTTCATCTATTAACACAATTACCAATAATGAACCTCATATATTTCTTACCTTCATTCTACTTAAATCCAGAAATTATATTAGTCCTTCTATACATTTTAATTTTATCCTTATAAAAATACACAATACTAATTACTATTTAAAAAAAAAAAATTATATGAAGGTTTTAAATCTATAAGGATAGGATATAATGAAGTAGAAACTAGTTACCCAAAAACAGCAACCTACAAAAAAAGAACCACATTGAAAGTGAAACCAATAATTGTTTATTTAAACAAGAGGTAATTAATTAAATTTAAATATAGACAAAATTATTTTTGGAGACAATGGTGCGTGACAAAATCAATTTATAAATGTTGTATCCTTGTATGTATTATTAATTTTTGGCAAAATTGTCCACAACTCTTTGTAGTTTCGAAACTCAGAGTAAAAATTCTTCTTCTACTTTAAAAATTGCATGACATCCCTTATATTTTAAAAAATGTTGCACGAAACCACTTTGTGGTTTTGAAACTCAGCATAAATCTCTATTTTACTTTAAAAAATTGCATGACGCTCACTTATACTTTAAAAAATATTGCATAGAACTCCCTGTCATGCAAAACATATAGATAGGAAATCATCTTCTTATCATACGAGGAAAATTTCATGGTGTTGGAGTTTCATTCAACGTTTTTTAAAATATAAGGGGGTACCATGCAATTTTTAAAGTATATAGAGATTCTAAACTGAATTTTGAAATCACGGGGGAGTTATAAGCAATTTTACCCTAATTTTTTATTAATATACAAGACAGACAATGAAATTGAAGGTTGTCCCAACCCTAGCCACATTTTGAAAGACGTTTCTTTTAAAGAAATAAATACTATATTTATCTATCTTTAACATTTTCCATTTTTTTTATAAAACGAAATTATGCCAATTATATATATATATATATAATAATTTATTCGTATTATATAATATTCCATATTATATTTACTTAAAAAAAGTACTGTTACAACTTTTAAAACGCTTCAATACATAAATTTAATTTCGTAGATGGTTAGGACGCGCATGTTTGTTTGCATTTTAATAATTATTATAATTTAAATTGTAATAAAATTATACATTATTTTATACTATTATTATAAATTGTGTAACTAAAAATTAAGATAGAAAAACAGACAAACACACCGTGAGTCGATGTCGGATCCTCGTTATTAATAATAATATAATGATATTTATTTTTATTATTTTAAAGAAAATGACATCTAGGGTGGAGCTTAGTCCATCACTTCTACTCAAATGGATAAATCAATTATTATAAACTCGCAACTGTAAGATCATAGTTATACAAACTTATAATAATGTATCTAAAATCATAAAAAGACACTCTAAATTTTATGTTATAACCTAAACACTCTTTAAAGTTCACCAATTCATCGCTCACACGAGTAAAAACCCGAAACTCTGTGTAAGAATCCGACCAAAGGTGAGACCAAAACGAAAAACAAAAAACCACGAGACATTGCAATGCAACACGGGTATGTTTTGTATCTTTCTCAAGAATGTCGATTCATTGAGAGAGCGACAGTGTAACAGTTGATGAATAGTGCAACAAAGACTCGCAATATAGTAGAATATAGTAGAACAATAGATACATACCCATTCCATATGCGGAACAAATTGCTTTCGTCATCGTACTAATAACAATCCTTTCACCGGCCCGGCGTGGCTGTGCGACCATGTGGTCGCTGGGCCCGGCACCAACCATATGCACACATCCAAGCATTGCTTTAATCCGATTCCTACAAAGTCAAACACACAATTAATAGCCAAAATCAATAGGAGACACTATACATGTGCATGTATATGTACCTATGTATAAATGTAGAATTAATGACAAAACATTTGACTGAGTTACCATAACAGGTCTACATTATTCGTGAATGCATATTACCGTCAGAAAACTCGCATTCTTGAGCTCCATCGAGTTAGCCCTGGCTTCGAGTGGTAATAACAATCAGAATGATAACCACAGAGAGCACAAACGATGATCTAACTTTCTCATCCAAAAGTTGGGGGCGATCCGAGGAAGGTCTCCTCTTCAAAACCGGTTGGAGAATCTCGTTCACCAGCAATAAGAATTTGTCCACCAGTTCTAAAATTTTTGCTTTGGTGAAGTCCGTGATCCATTTCAAGATAAGGATCGCTATGTCCGGTTCTTCACTGTATGTTAGGAGCTCCTGTTGTTTAGCTGGTATATATATACACACACATATATAAATATATACCATTTAATTGAATTCACAATCAGTTTCTGAGGTTAAACCTTTAGGGATCGAATCTTGCAAACGCCGAACCGCCTTATTACTCATAAGGGCTTCCCAAACAGCTTTATCACTAGAAATGGAGGCGACAGATTTCTGAACAAAAATTACCCAACCTTAGAGGATAAAAATGATTAATTGCAGTTCAATATTTAGCTTCTGTCTCTTCTCCAATATCTAAGGATAATCCGACTCTCAAGCAAAAAACCAAAGTAGTCAACTCCAGCTAGGACTATTCAAAATGAATTACCAGTTATTCGAAAGCTCTACTTTCAGTTTCAACAGTAACAATATAGACTTTAGAGTATAACTCGAGTTCAGCATTATTAAGCTCGTCGCCACATCTACACACAAAATTGGTATCCAAATGAGGCAAGACTGCACCACAAGAAGCCCCCCGTTTCTACATTAGTTCCATGATATATTGAAATTTAAATAAGGTGGTGTATTCAATATAGATTTTGTATAAAATCTGGGTGTATTCAATGAAGACTTTTAAAAATTTTTTAAAATGTAAAAGTATTCAATCCAGACTTTTAAAATCTTTGGGGTATTCAATATAGAGTTTTAAAAGTCTCTCAATCCATAGACTTTGAAAGTCTATGGATTTTTGTGAAAATTTTGTATAGAAAAGAATCTCTCTTTACCATCACAGATTTTAATGAATTCTTAAAATTATTATTGTTATTATTATTATTATTGTTGTTGTATATATGATCAATAATATGATAATATTTATTACTATTATTATAATTTTTAATAAAAATAATAATTTAAAACTAAAATATATTAGCAAATTATTATAATTTTTTTTTAAATATATATTTTTATATTATAAATATAATTTTAAAAAATATTATTATATTACTGTCGTCTTTTCTTTTCAATTATCGAATACGCTATATTATCATTACGATAACGGTGAAATAAATATTTAAATATTATATTTTTTGTTGAACCGTTAATTTATGTTTATTTATTTATTTTAATATTTTAACATACATATTGTGCCGAGAACAATAGTAACATGTAATGTGCAGATTATTACTATATGTCGACAGTTTATAGTCGTTAATCAGGGCTAATTAGAACCCTAATTACTGCCCTATGGGTATGGTATAGTCAAATTATTGTGAAATTTGGAGCTAAGTAGAGATTTTGAGTCATTTTACAGGAATAAAGATTCAACTAAGATCCAAATAGAATTACTTCAAGATTGCATGAGGATAGCATCAACTGATTAATTAATTCTACATGGATTCATGGAAAGAAATGGCACCTGAAACGCTGGGTCCGATCGCATCATAGAGAAAGCTTCCATAAATTTTGCAAATCCAGGAGCTTCCAGGATTTTTGACTGCTGATCATGCAGCAATCCTTTAACACCATTAAGCTCTGATTTAGAATTGGAAAGGCCGCTCATAAACCTAGAAGAAAATTTACAGACACTGTCAGCTCGATGGAGTTGATATTCTAATGCTCAATCGACAAATGGATACGTGCAAATTGATGCAGAATGAATAAATATGCAGCTGATAATTCTCATTGAGTTGCAAACGGACTGTAATCAGGTCAATTTCGTTCCAATTTTTTCAAAGAGTGAGAAAAGGATTTCAGCTGAGTGAAATTGGGCGAGGCGAAGAAATGAAACTGAGGTATTTGAAGTTCCGATTTGATTTGCAATTGGATGAAACTGCTTCAATCCGAAGCTACAAGTAAAAGAATTTCAGAAACGAAGAAGCACTACACCTTTCCAGATCGAGAATCGCCTTCTCGACTTCAAACCGAGACGGTACCGATCCGAACACCGAATCCCCGTTATTTTGAGAGCACGATTTACCTCCACGGCGAATCTCCACCACTGAACTCCGTCCGTCGCCGCCGGAAACGGAATCTAAATCTGCATCAAGCAAGTAGTCGCCGCCGCCCATGGAGAAATTCAAAGGTAACAGATAAGGCCGGCAGTCATTCACTGCTATTATCAGTATCACTCAGCCAAACTGACTTTACTCTTACTCGGGTAAATCCAGAAGGGGACGGGACCTGTGGTCCCGAATCTCCAACACCGTTGATTTCGGAAGGCGGCAAAACAATCGACGGCGTGGATTGTTCGAGGACCAGTCTCTGTAATTTTCTTTATATAGGTAGATGAAGAAATGGTGGAATCAGTTGGAAATGGTTGATACCTCTTGCATTTCGAGAGGCAATGAACGGAGACCAACAAAGACTGAGTAATCTCTGCATTTCCTTCCTCCATTTTTTCTCTTCTTATTAATTCCTTCCATTTTCTGTGCTCACTCCGATCTGCAATACCTTCTCTGTCTCCACTATTGCAGGCCAGAGACACGCACTCGCACGCACAGAGTCGCATATAATGAACGATCGATGGCAACGACGACGATGATGATGATGATGGTAAATAGTTGAAATCAATTGTACGCAGTAAATCTGTATATACATACATATATATATATATATAGAGAGAGAGAGAGAGAGAGAGAGAGATGGATGGAGAGAGGACATACGTGAAGCTATCTGAGGAGCAGAGACAGTTGCAGAATGTTACGCCTGGAGAGCTCAACGAGGCAATCAACATCGATCAGGTATGTACTGTATCAATAATCAATGCATTAGTTAATCTTCATCTCCGATTAGAGCATTTAGCGTTCGTTCGTTCGTTCGTCGATTTGAAAACCGCCATTGTTGATCTCCATCCTCGATCGATCAAGCATTGCACTTATAACGATTTATATATATATATATATATGTAATAGTTGCACGGACGAACCTGCGAGCAATGCGGACAAGTTTTGCCAGCGACCTACATTCCGCCGGCGGACGAAGACTGGATGACCGGAATATTCGGATGCCTCGAAGATACCGAGAGCTGTAAGAAGCTTCGTTCCATAATTTAACAAATTACATTCCATTCCATTAACGTCGTCGCACAGCACTTGCATAGATATTGTTCTTTCTCTCTGTAGGCAAGAACGGATTGTTTTGTCCTTGCGTGCTGTTCGGGCAAAATGTGGCGGCATTGAACAGCGAAATAGCAGAGCAGAACGCATGCGTGAGCCACGCGGTGTGCGTGGAGGGCGGCATTGCTCTTGCGGCTCTAACCATAGCGTTCAACGGGATGATCGATCCGGACACCGTGTGCCTGCTGACGGAGGGATTGCTGTTCGGGTGGTGGGTCTGCGCCATCTACACCGGCATGGGCCGTCAGCTGCTGCAGCGCAGATACCACCTCAAGGTATGTACACACACGCTACTTTTAGATCTTGTTTGTCAAAAATAATTCGAGTAAATGTGACTAGCAGCTTATAAAAATAAAAAATAAAATCTAATATTTTAAAAAAAAAATATATATATATATATATATGTACCATTCATAATAATTAAATATCACATTAAATTTTTTTTTTTCTAACAGATAATAATTAGACCCTATATAATACTATAATATCATATTTTTCATTTTTATCTTACATCTTATTTTATTTTTTTTATATATATTTTAATTTTACTTCTTCGGTCTACTTTCATATTTACATATTTCTATTTTTGTTTAATTCAAAAGTTTACAAATTTCTTTTTATTGATTGTGGATTTTATCCTAACTACTAATATATTCTTTTTAAATTTATTTTCAATATTATTCTCACTTTATTATACAATTTTATCTAAAAGTAAAGACAATTTGATCTTTACTCTAATATAATTTTTAAATTTTTTATTAAATTAATTATCATAATTTTAATTTATAATTTTTTGCATTATATTATTTACTAATAGTACTCTCCATCTTAAAAATTTAGTTCTTTTGTATTTTTTCATAAAAGTGGAATTAAATTTTCTGAACAAAAGGAATAGATTATTAATTATTTATTAATTATATTATTTTTAAATTTTCGTGTGTACGGAAGTAATTTCTTACTATTGCAGAAGCTTCTAAAAACTTGTATATAATCTAACTAAAGTGATATTAAAATATTGAATTTGTGTGAAATGGTAGGATTCGCCGTGCGATCCGTGCCTGGTGCATTGCACGCTCCATTGGTGTGCCATATGCCAAGAACACCGAGAGATGCGGCGCCATTTGTCCGACAGGACATCTTCCGCCACCACCGTCGTCGACCCGCCCGAACTTCAGGAAATGAATGCCGCCGCGGCCGCCGACAACAAACCACCGGAGGCTGCACCGCCGCGGCCGGAGACTACGGAACATAATAACTTGCAGTTGGTGCCGGTTTCCAGAAACTCTGTCTAGTTTTAGTGTGTATATATATAAATATATATATATATATATGATTATTTTGATTGTTGTGGAATTAATTAAATGTTCAAATGTATAAATAAATATGGCCTTAGTGAGTATGATAATTCAATGGAATTAGTATTGCTATACATATAGTTGGCAAAAGTTTTCAGACAAGATGATAGATGGTTTAGAGTTATTACAAAAAAAAAAAAAATGTTTGAGCTAGAACCTTATATGTAGAAATTTTGTTTCTAATGAGAAATGGACGATGAAGGGTTTGCTTTTTTTTTTTTTTTTTTTTTTTTAGTTTTTGATTTAAATAGTTTTTTAACTTAATATTTCTTCGTCCAAATGTAAACTTTTCATTTTACCATTTCAATATGTTCAAACCAAAACATTTTATTAAGTAACTCTCAATTAAATATTAAAATATCCATACTCCCTCTATTCTATTTAATTTGTTCACTCTTTCTATTTTCGTCCATCCTACATAATTTTTTTTTAAAAAAAGAATATAATTATACATAAAATCAAATGAAAAAAATATCAAAAACTCCTACATACTTCAAAATGTATTTCTCATTTTTTAAATATATATTTATTATAATTATATCAAATTTTTTTTAATAATTTTGTATTTTAAATTTTATTTTTTATACAAGATTGATATAATTTTATTTATATTTAATTTTAAAAATAAATAATTTTTATATAAATATAAATGTATACGTATTTTTTTTATTGAAATGAAAGAAAGATAAAGAAAATGTGAAATAGAGATAAATTGAGGTAGAAATGAAATACCTATGTTGAGTATCTTGAATGCAGATGACCTAACCAGCCGGACTACCACTACAATAAAGATATGGAATCTCCTAATACACGTGGCAGCAGATGCACGTAAATCAAAAAACAGATACGCTGATCGACACTAGTTGTCCTTTTGTGGCGTCAGCGAGGGTACGTATGTGTAAGCGCAACGTACAAACACTACAGCGCTACACTACGACTGGATCTTTGTATGTATGTACTATGTATGTAAAAGCCGACAATGTATTCGGTATATAATCTGGCATGACATTGATTATATAATATTTACTTTACTTTATTTTATAATATAAAATTTTGATACAGTTGCATTCTTTATAGTAATATACTAATGTGAATTTTGCATCTAGTTTAATGAAAGCTTAGTACACATGTGGACTTCGTTGTGTAAAAGATATCAGGTATCAAATCATTGATACAGTCCATTCTTTACAATTAATATATTTATTTATTTATATATAATAATAATAATAATAAAATCTACTAACATCAAATGTGATGAATTAGATATTGATTTTAGAAAAATAAGAGAGAGAAGAAATAGGTTAGATGAAGAGCGGACAATAACAAGCTCAGTTGAGGAAGGTAGAAGAAGATGAAGATATAAGTGAAATGGAATATATATATATAAATATGTACATATACATTACATATAAAGCATGATGATGGAATATTATTGGTTTAAATGAAGAGAAAATAGCTCAGAGATGTATAGAAGCGATAGCTAAATAGTAACAGGAGGAGATCGTGACTACATATATTAATCAGCACATTACATCCTTGAGAAGTTTGTACCTGCGTGCGGTAGGCCGCGGCGAAAGACTTTTTCCGGCGACTTTATCCGCCGTAGCGCCACCGTCCCCACGGTTATTCTGCTTGATTTTTTCGCCGGAGTAGGCTGATCTCATTTCACTACTTGCCTGCGGGAATTTACTCGTAATTCTTCCGGATGATGAACTTGCTTTCTCGCTTAAACACCAATCGCATACCTCAACACGCCGTGACTGTTCTCCGCAGTAGCTGCTACAGTACCTAAAGTAATCTCCAAACCACAAAAAGCGTAAAGTCGCGTCACCGAATCGATCAGAATACGAATCGAAATCAAGTGCACGAAATCGAATCGAATAATGTAAGCTTGATCGATCTTACACGAGCAGCGATCCAAACAAACTAACGAAATTGGATTGAATGACGACGAATTAGAAATTTCATATGTCGTACAGCATAATCAATTAATTAGAGAGATTGTGTTCGATCGGCTGTGCTATTCATATTCACATCTACACACATAAACATAAACAAAAGGAGATGCGGCGATCGAATTAAAGCACGACGTACGAGTGCTGGAAGCGGCTGCGGCAGTTGGAGCAGCGGAAGAGCTGATCGGAAAAGCCGACGTCGCCACACAAACAGCAGACGGTGGTGCTCTGAAGATCCATCACTATGACTGCTTCACAACCGGAGGATTCGCCGTAGATGATAGAGAGAGAGAGAATAGGAAATTTAGTAAAATAGAGAAACACGAAAGCAACGCGCATAAGAAAGAAGATGTGGGAAATGAAGAGACGCCAGTCCGCGTGCACGTCTCCCGCTTATATACCACCGCATTATTTTTTATTTTTATTTTTAAATGTATATATAAATAATAAAATCAGTTAAGAGGGAAATTAAAAATATATATATTATTAAAAAATAATAGATAGTTGAAAAATATTTTTAATAATTTTGTTAAAAATTAAAGTAAATGATGAGAAAAATATAATAAAATTAGTGGTATTTGTTGTAAATAAATGTTAGAATTGAGGATATTTGTATTTACCAAAAGTAATAATGAAATAAAATTAGATGACGGATTAAAAAAAATAAAAATAAAAATAAATTTGAAGATTGGGAGAGTATTATTGAGAAAACAATAGAAATAATAGTAATAATGACAATTAATTTGGAAAGTAGTTTTGATTAATTTATGTAATAATTATGAGCTTTTTGTGAGAATTGATTTTGTAAATTATATATATATTTTTTATAATTAATCAATAAAATTATTGAAATACTCCCTCAGTTCAAAAAAGTTTGTCTTGTTTTTCCATTTTCATCCGTCCCAAAACAATGGTCTTGTTTCTTTATTTAGTAGCAGTGGTCTCCATTTTATAACAAAATTATTCATACTTTTCTATACTATACTTTAACATACTCTTTAAGACCCTTCAAAAAGTAAAGGTATTTTAGTCATTTACATTCTACTTTATACTTATAATTCTCGTGTCAACTCTCAATAAGACACTTCTTTTGAAACGAAATGAGTATTTAATAAATACCATTTTGAAAACGGTGTATAATTAAATTAGATTTCTTAAAATAGAGAGGTGGGCGACAATAATAATAATAATAATAATAATAATAATAATATAAAAAGACCACACAAGTTGTTCTATTTCCTTAATTCTTATAGTACTAGAAGAAAGAAAAAAGAAATAAAATAAAATATTTATGTATGTATGTATCGCAATCAGTGTCACTTTCGTAGTCATTTAAGGTGTGGGCTTGTTTGCCTTCTAAGAAATTTTTGGTGTATTTTTTTAATTCTCTTGAAGCAGTAACCAATTAATTTCAAATAACGACCTCTCAATAAATAAGTATATAAATATGTTTTTATATATTCATTCAATATTTTAGGTTGTGTTTGTTGTGGTTTTTCTATCAATTTTTTACTATTAATATCTTTTTCTGAAAATGTTAAATATTTTTTTTATATACTATACAAATGTATTTTTATATTTAAAATATTAAATCATTACATCAAATAAAATTTCAATTACAATGCTCCTTACGTCTATTTAAAAGTATACATTTAATTTAGACACAAATTTTAAAAAATAATAATATTTTAATTATAATAGGTGAGTAAAAGTAATGCAAAAACAATTCTACTTTTATTATTTTGTATAAAAATAATAATATGATTATAAAGTATGAGTATTTATAAAAAAAAAAAATAAAGTTCATAATTAATAAAAATGAAATGATTACTTATGATTACACAATTCAAAATAAAAATATATATATTTTATGAATTGGCAGAGAAAGTATATATTTTTCAAAATCATAAATCCAACTTAAAAGTCCAAAAAGATAAGGTTTGTTTGTTTGTTTAATACTTTAATTTGAATAATTTTTTTATATATATGAAATATATAGAATTGTATAATTAATATAAAAAAATAATATTTTCTATTAAATATTAAATTTCATTAAAAAAAAATAAAATATATATAGTGTGAATCGATAAAAAAAAAAATTAGATAAACAAAGTACTTTTGATATGATTTTATTTAAGAAACAAAGTATTTATCAATATTTTGAAAATATATATTCACTTATATTTTTGAGTGAATATAATTTTTTTATATTATGTATAGAGAATTATATTTATAATATAAAAAATAGTAATATTATTTGTTGAATTGATGATTTTTTTGACTGAATAAAATATATATTATATAGTGTCAATGGTGTGTTTGTTTAGGGGTTTAGATTTTGAGTTGAGATTTGAATAGTAAAAATTTTGAATTTGAATAGTTGTATGATGTGATATAAATAGGTGTTGATGTGATGTTTTGAATGTAAAATTGTTTTTTAGTATAATATAAAAAATAAAAAATAGGTGTTTGATTTGATATTTTTGAGGAAAAAAAAATTGGATGAATAGTGAAAATCTAATTCAATCCTCCAAACAAACACACCTGTACTATATTTACTATTTATTTTGCACAATTTTTTTTTTAAGAAAAGAGAAAAATCTTCTGTTCCTTTTTAATGTATGCATTTGAAATTGTTCCTTTTTAATGTATGCATTTGAAATTGACTTTATGTTCAAATAATTATACGTGTAATAGTATATTTATAATTAATGTTAAGTTAATGATATGTTGGTATTAGTGTATAAATATTTTTACTAAAATAAAAAATAAATATTTTTTAGTGAAATAAATAAATAAAAATATATAAATTATTTTAAATTGAAATAGAAAAACATATTGAATTATATATATATATATATATATATATAAAACATAACCTCAAAAATATTTAAATCAAAATCAAACACACTCCTCTAAACTTATTAAACAAATATATTGGGGTCACTACTATACTCGATTTGTTTCAATTTTTTATCATGCAATTACATTATTTTCAATAAATTTAAAATATATTTTTTATTCATATAAAACATTCTATTTAATAATTATGTTATATGGTTTATTTAATAATTTTTCAAAACCAATCTCTCTCTTTTTCTTCATTTTTATACAAAGGGGTTTGAAAACAATAAACTAATATATACTTCCTTCGCGTTGCTTGGATGTCAGGATTACTGGACACAAGAGAATTTAACGTAAATATAATTAGTAGATAATTAAAAATATATTAGTGAAAATAATTATCTTATAATATAAATAGTTATAAATTAAAATTAAGATAACTAATTAATTTAATTAAAATTAAAAAAAATAAATTATAAAATTTAAAATAAAATTAAAATGTATAATAATTTTTCAAAAAAAAAAGTGACAAACACTAATAATAAACATGATAGGTAGGACAGAGATAGCATTAAATTTATCTTATTTTATTTTAGGACTTCACAGCCACAAGAGTAATATGTAATTAATTATACCACATTGAATGAATGGATAAAGATTGATGGGTGGTAGAAATATTATTATTATTATTATTATTATTGTGCTTGACTTTAATTTAACCACTGATATTAATTATTTAATAAATTAATTAATGCCCCATGGAATGCACTGCACAACAATTGCTACTATATTATTCACTACTTGTATTTAATTCATTCCAATCATTTTCATATTTCTTATGTGCACTTCCAATCAATTTTGTTTATACAATAAATATTGATCAAAAAAATATATATATATATATATTTATTTGCATAATATAAACAATATATACCTCATTCAAAAAAATTAATAATTTAATACAAAAGCTAAAATTGATTGATAAATGAAGCAATTTTATATTATTAACGCAATTCATTATATTTTAAATAAAATATAAAAAAAAAAATTACCTCAAACTTAATTTGTTTAATCTTCAAAAAATTAATCCATTCAACACCTATCAAAGTTTGTTTTAAATTCAAAATAAAGATGCATTTTTTTTTTTTATTTTTTGTGTGTTTTCTTGTGTGTGTGTGCATTTTTGTTTTTTTCGTAAAATAGTTATTAAATATAATACTTTAAAACTAAATTTGAGAAATTGAATAATAAATATTAGTAAGGACAAAAAAATTAAAAACAATGAGTTTGTTTGATTTTGGTTTAAAATTTATTTGAATTGTTATTTATATAGTATTTTGATCTTATATTTTACTATATGAGATAATCTATTTTTATTAAAAATTGTACATAATAAATAATGTTATGACATGAACAAACCCAACATGTTTGTTTGATTTGATTTCAATAATATTTTTTACAATATTTTGTGAGAAAAAATAATTTTTTTAAAATAACATACAAATTAAATAATATTTCTTTTTAACACACCAAACAAACCCCAAATTTCCACCAAATATATAATATCCATTCGACATTCTTCTCGTACAAAACAATCCACATTTATATATATATATATATATTTCTACAAAAAAAAAATAATATTATTTTTAATACTATATCTCTATACAAAATATATAATATTCAAACACTATTAATATTTTAAGGCAAAAGAATCTAAAGCAATAAAAATATTTCAAAACACAATAAATTGCATACAGTTTTTTTTAAAAATAATAAAATAATAAATGTTGTAATTATGATGGGCTCTTCAAGTGAAACATAAATATTGTTGGCCACAATTTATTAACCACTAAATAAAAAAATGTGAGTGCTCATAAATAATGCTGCCTTTTGACCATCTCATATATCCAAAATTTTAATTTAATGCATATTATAGAGATGCACATATTAATGTTTTTAATTCAAAATTTGTTTTAAAAATTTTAATTATATAATATTAATTTTTTTTTTTTACAAAAATATATATATTTTTTTTTTTCTATAAAATATCACATTTATGGTTTTCTTCTGAAGTTTAAAATCGAAATACAAACCAAAATTCACAGTAAACAAATTAAAATCAAGACATGCTTTTAAAAGCCAAATAATTGCTTTTAAAGAACTTAAGAGCGTTTCTTTTAGCTTATTTATTATTACTATAGCCGCTCGTCCAAATACAATAATCTTATTTACCATTTTTGTTCATCTTAAAATAATAGTCTCATTTCCATAAATAATCATATCACTGTAAAACTATCTCTACTTTTTCATTATTATTACACAATTGTCACTACTTTTTAAGAACAAAAAAGTTATTTATCCTTACTTTTTACTGACTACCAATATAATACCAATATTCCTTAAATGTCGTGCCCAACACAATAAAACTATACTTTTTGAACGAAAGAAATATTATTTTAGCCTTTAATTTAAATAATATTTTTGATATAATATTTTATTAAGAAAATGCGATAGGTTTCAAAAAATTTAAAGTTAAATCTCATATCAAAATATTTTTTAAACATCTTATGTTCGACAATTGAGTGGATGAAAATTAACTAAAAATCTGTTAATATATAGTTATAAATTATTTTTTTATTCAAACTCTTGTTATTTCTAAAACTTAAAAAAACTCTTCTAAACTATATTTAAAATCAACATAAGTCAGAATATGGAAACAAGTGCATGTTATCCCCATTTGTGTAGCACTTTCTTAACAGCAAAAATCATAGTGGAAAATTGATTACTTCTCCAATAAATCAAATCTCAATATTATAATAATAATAATAATAATAATAACAATAATAATAATAATAATAATAATATGCTTTCAAAAAAGTTTTAACGACTTGTTTGAAACTTTATACAGCAGAAGATTTGGCAATAAGTAAATCAATCTTCGATGGATTTGCAATTCCTAATTTATCATTAATTATTCACATGATGATTGGAATAGAATTGAAACCCTCCATTTTATTTGAGTTTTTTCTTAATGCCTTTCTACTACCATTTATATGTAAAAGAAAATAAAATAAAATAAAATAATAATATTTCTTTCGTTTCTTAACAATCTATCATTTTTTTTTTTTTTTTGGTCTATCTCATAACAAAATATCAATTTCTTTTTCTTTTAAATAATCATACTATCTATCTAACTTAATTTAGTCTTTTTACCTTCCGCATTTCAATATAATATCAATAGTTCTAATATACTTTTCTAAAGCACCAGTTTAAAAGTTAAATTGAAAAGCCCAAATCAGTAGCAGAACACATAGGGTCTAATTAGTGTAACATGCAATGATTTTAAAGAAAAATAAGTGTCACAATTGACATTTGAAAATGGTGTGGTGTGTATCAAATGCTCTACATTTGTTAAGCAAAATTGCCAATCCAATTCAATAAAGAAACAATTAACAAAATAGTAAGAACAAAAATAAAATAAAAAAACAATTCCAAAAATAGGGAGACACAAGAAATAACATAAAGACATGAAAGGACCAAGGGCTATTGCCACTTACTACAACACATATAATCACCTCATTATAAAAAAGATGGGTAAATTCAATTGTTCAAGTTATAGATTTCTTTTTTTATTCATTTGCCGCAGTATCAAACATCTAAGAAAATTGACAAGAAGTTACTTACTAATGAGATTAAATTCAGACCGAGATTCCGTGGTTGCTGATCTTCATAACTTCTTTCGAAAGAACGTTCCTTTCTTTCTTAGCCTCTTTCGCGAGGTTATTAACCTACAATCAGGAAAATAATTAATATTTTGGGGGGAAATAAGAAAGAAAAGATTCGATGTTTGAAACAAGTGCATGGGATCGATGAGTTAAGAATAATATATAACAGTTAATGTAAATAAGTAGGCGGAATTTAACACAACAAAGACGGAGTCTACCTAAAAGGAAAAGAGGACTTACTTGAGATCGAAATCGAGATGCTTCTCTACTAGGAAGCTCTTTAAGAACATCCTTCAAGCCTGACACAGTTATAAAGATCAAGCTACGATTGTCAGACACGCCATCATCAAAATGGTGAAAATAGTTTTATGGATTCTAATAGACGATCCTCCTGAAGATGGAAAATGTGCTCGTGGTTGCACATACAGATTACAGACCTGCTGCTTGCCTTTCTATCTTATAGGCAGAATTGATGACGCTCTGTATTTGCTTTCCTGTTTGCCTGCAGGGGAAACACACAAATGAGTCGGAAAGAAATGGATTAAAAATTAGTCGAATAATCTTGAAAGATATGCTAAAACAGAAACACAGACTTCAGTTTTGTCCTCCCTCGCAACAAATCTTCCTCAGCTTGCAATGCCCTTTTCTGATACCATTAAACCACGTTGTGTCAATTGATAAAATTTCAACTTTACAAACTTCTTCATATTTAAAGAAAGTTAATTTATGCGCAAGATAAAATCCTGGATTCATACGACTATTCCAAGTCTCTACCTAAATAATGAAGGCAGCAAATGCAGTGAAATAGATTAATATTATATATATATATATATATAGATAGATAGATATAATCCTCCACCCTTTAATTTTACCAGCTTCATCACTGGGATGAGCACCACTGAGAATTAAGAATAAAGAGATACCTCGAAGGAAAATAAATAAATAATTATAATAACAACAAAAAATAATAATAATACAGGAGATGTTAATGGATAGAAGATTGACATAACATTTGCATTATCATGGCAATTGAAACTGAACAGATCTGACATGGACCTTTAAAGGTGCATTTCTTCCACAAATTGAAGTGCACAAAAAGAAACAAAGATATCTCAAGTAAGAAAAACAGATGACATCAAGGCCCAATTAAGTTTAATAATTGTATCGCTAAGAATTTGAACGGCATAACCTTCCTTGCAGGCTTTATCCTCCATGAAACGATTTAGCTGTTAATGGTACTTGATATTCACGTTTTGGAAATAATTACTAAATTTATAAGAAATTTGCATTCAGATCCCACAAGAGAAACATAAATGAGCAGGCCCAATCGTAGTCATTGCAAACAAATATATTAATAATCAATATAGCTAATTTTGATGTCTATGGAATCACTGATTTGATTCTATAGACAATAGATATGTGTGCATATGTTCCACAGTGATCCATCATTTCTCTGCAACATCTAGGATTCAAAAGAAAGTCGAACTAGCACTCTAAAGATGGAAAGAAACTCCCTGCTCCATATTTTTTTTAACAAAAAAGAAAATACACCTCTGCTGTCTAGTTAGCTGCATCCGTATATCGAAATGACATCTGGATACCTTACTTTTTTTCGACAATTAGCCCACTGATTTACCTTTTCAATTTTTACTCAGCTTACTAGTTCACTAATTTTATTTTATTTTTTTTTGGAACAGACAAATGCAGAGGGATGGGAGAGTGGGAACTAAAGCAAAAACATGTACACTAGTTGGAGGTTAACAAGATGCAACATGAAAGACAGAAGCAAACATGTGTTTGAAAAGATCAAAAGAATACCTCCAACTTTTCACTTTCTGCCTTCAAACTTTCAATCGACTGCCGTAACTCCTTAACCTTCAAATCAGCTTTAGAAACCAATTTCTGGATCAAGAGACATTCACTTGTATATTATTCTTTGGCGAAAATTCAACCACCACCATGATTAGTAGTTGCCAATCAAATCAATTTGATTAGCAATGCAAATAGAAACTGTTAAAAATATTAGTACTTTTAGCATAGAGAAAATAATGCGAAATCAATTAAATACTTTTAGCCATCTAACACAGCTAAACAAAAATATTTTATCACCTGAATCTTTAATGGAACAGCCTAAATACTGAGATAGTAATAATAAAACAACCAACGACTTCATATTTGCTAAAGCATTCCAAAAGTTACATGATCAAACAAATAGTGTCAATCATACCTCTTCACTAGTAAAGATGCGCAATGTCTTGTAGTGCAAGAATTGTCTGGTCCCTGCAGATACACATTAAAATACAATCAAAATAAAGATTCGAGGTCAAGGGAGTGAAGAAAAAAGTTATTGTTCAGATGTGCTGATAATTATATAGGTTTGACATACTTTTTAGACCTAGAAATGTCACACCAAGCACAGATCCGGTTGTTATAAATGGATGTGCAGAAGCAACAAGCAATCCCTCTGCAGCAGTTAATCAATTTCAAAAAAGTCAAGACCTATATTGAGAAGAATATCCAAATTGACTTATACAGAATGCAATCATGTTCAGTGAATTGTTTGCTTGAAAAGGACCTTTAATCTTCCCAAATGCAATATTCTCATACATGCGATACTCAGACTTCAACCTCTGACAAGAGTCCTGCATCATATCCTGCCAAATCACAACCATGTCAACAACCGCTTAGTATACAAAGTTATGTGAAACATCAAGAATAGGCATGAAAATATGTGCCTCCGGGAAAGAGGAAGTGTGTTATTCAGTAGCAAAGTTAAAGGTCAATACTTTGTTAAAGATGTGATACTGTTTCAGGTAGCGAAACACTGAGGTTCACATTTACATTATGGGAGAATGATAAAATCAAACTTTCATGAAAAAACTCTTTTTAAGAGGAAAATAATACAAGCATCAAGATGGATATACCCATCTTACCACTAGCACCAATCACAAGCAGCTGAGCTTATAACATGTATGTGGCATTGCCACAGTCAAATGAGAAAAAAAAAAAAAAAACCATGGCCTCTTTTCCGGAGGCACATATTTTGAGATTCATTATTATGTCAAATTTGCATTATGTAAAATAACCGAGATTAGTAGGTGAGGCAGAGAGAAATTCACTGTGTGGGCAAAAAAGAAAACTAAGGATTTATTCGGTTGTGTTTAGTGTATTGGATTGTTTTGGGAATAATAAAATTTTGAATTGAGATAGTTGTTTCATTTGATATAAATATTTATTTGATTTGATGTTTTGGATTGAAAATGGATTTCTTATGTTGTATTTTAAATAGAAAATCAGTGCTTGATATGATATTTTAAAGGGAAAAAATAGGTTAATGTAGAGATATAGTGGTGGAGGTGTGTTGATAACACAACCAAAGTGAGTTGGCCTAAATGAGTTCTTAAACTGATGATGTGATGAAAAAGAATACTCAGGTAATGCAAAAGTGCATTCTTGTATGCACATGTTCTTAGGAATTTCAATAAGCAATAGCTACTTTGGCTCGAAGCTTGGATAATGGATTCATGACAAACATTTTGAGCTACAATGATAAACTGGCGCGTGCCAATAATCAGTATCCTCAGAATCAGACTGCAGCACTTTCACACTTTTTGCTTCTTTTATCACCTTCTCTAATTGTCAGATTCCTTAGAGAACCAGCTAATTAACAAAAGCATTCTCATACTTTGCCAGTTTTTTAACTTTTGACAGATTCTCCCACTATTGGTTTCCTCCAATGAACCAAAAGTATTCCCAAGGACCGTTCCAAATGTAGGAATTTCTGTAGGATTATAAAACGTAACTGAAAGCCAATCTATTTCAGACTTGACCAATATTCCAATACTCTTGATTTATTCTTTGTCGGTTCACACATCAATAAGACAGACCTTCCATAAGTCCATCCTTCATACTACACCAAACCTTTGCTGAAAATTTTTACTATTGGATTCTCAACTACCGACCAACAGTGTCTCCTGAACCCAACCTGAGCACTTGCCAAAAGCACTCCCATTATCAGATTTATTGATAAATTGACTAACATGCAAACTAAAGACCCTTAGTCTAAAAGCCAACCCATTCAACAGTTTTAGACAATTCGACTTATTTGGTCAAGCCTAACATCGACCATCCTAATAAATTCATTGACATTGTCTTCAAATCCCCCCAACCTGTCTCTCTCCAGCCCAAAAACTCAATGAAGAATTGCAAAGAATGCCCAACTTCTCAATTTTACTGAAATTGCACCAAAACTAGGTTTGGGACATAATGTAAATCCTTGTATTAGAGTTTGTGTTTGAGGATTTCATCAGCCATCTGTAGGCAGATTGTCTTTTATGAATAAAAATCGTTTTGTTTCTTGTGAGTGATTCTCTAAAACTGATTCCACGTAGCATTATTAAATGATTCGTTTTCCTGTGATATTTCTTAACTTTCTTCATCATTACTGGAATTCATTCGATCTCTACCCCAGAGTCCTCAACCTTGATTTAGTGATTGTTATGTTCATGAAGCTTCTTTCATGCAATTGCATAGAGGTCAATAATTTCAAATTGTGCATTCAATATTTAGATTTCAAAATTTTAATTTCCTGTTCTGTTTGGGTTTCTTGGTGTTCAGTAGTTTTATTTCCTTCAAATTGGCAAACCACATTAATCAATGTTATCCAACTTCTTTAACTTTAATTGTTACTTGATATCAAAGCCAGTGCAAAGTAGATAATTCTCTTCTAATTTGATTTTGCTGCTACCATTATTCTATTAACACAAGTTTCACCCTAGTCTGTTTATACAAGTTCTACTCTTTCCATTTGGCACAAGATTCTTTCTATCCATATTGCACAAGTTTCACCTAGTTCTATCTCATGCAATTCCCTCATGTTCAGTTCAAATGAGTTCAAACTACTTAATTCTCACAAGTTTTGTCCTGTTAAGTAGGTTTTCTGTGATTGGTTTATACAGATCCCCTATTGTATCTACATATATATATATATTTGAACCATTAGGGTGTATTTGTTTGGGGGTTTGGATTTTGAGTTTGGATTTGAATAGTAAAAATTTTGAATTTGAATAGTTATATGATGTGACATAAATAGGTGTTGATGTGATGTTTTCAATGTAAAATTGATTTTTAGTACAATATAAAAAATGAAAAATAGGTGTTTGATTTGATATTTTTTGGGGGAAAAAATAAGATGAATAGTGTATTTAAAATCCAATCCCCCAAACAAACACACCCGTGCATCTTTGACAGTTCAAGTTGGGCATATTCACACCTATAATAGCATTACATAACAGAATAAATTGCAATGTCGCCACCATAACAAATTTATATTTAAGCAAGCTAGCTAAAAATGGTATAAGTAGAGACATCATGAAGAGAATGAAATCTTAAAATCCACTGTTTACACAACAATTTGGAGACTCTGGCAATATTCAACTTTCTAAAAACATCATATCAAATATATTTTTCTATCACAATCATCACTAACTCTTTACAGTTTTCAATTTTTCAAAAACCTAAAAATCTGTCTATACGGAGCCTTACCTTCAATTGATATTAAAGAGGTTTTAGCGGGTGGAGCTTATAAAAAGTCAATAATATTACACACAAATACAACCCATATGCTCGAATCGAGTTTTTCTTACAAATTCTACATGCATTGAAATCCTAAAGGTGCAAAAGCAAACAAATGCCAAAGAAAAATGTCACGAATCGATTGAATCAATACAAAAAAGTTACGAATGCTTCAGTTCGCATGATACCAACACAGCGCGCAATAAACCTAAATTTTCAGAATCTTCCAAATTTATCATCAATTGCAGCAAATTGTAACTACATAAATGAAGGCACAGGAAATTCAAATCTTACAATCGTCATTCCGAAGTGAGCCGACGCGGTGGTGAGAAATTGATCGGCTCGCGATCTGGTGGTTTCAATTGCGTTGTCTACGGTGGTCTCGATAGTCTTCTGTGCAATTACCGCTTGTTGCGCTACATAGTCCGCCCAGTGAAAATCATTAGCATCGATTGATCCTGGGGATTTCTGAACGCTCCCCTCCGATGGATTTCCGATCGGTTTCTCTCCCGGTGATTCGCCGGCGATTACTGACATTGTCACGGAGCTTCACCCAAAAAGTTATGTTCCTTCCGTCAAAAGCTTTCGTAATTTCTGGGATGACTTATTATTCCAGTATTTATAGGTCTCATCCGACTCGGGTAATGGATTCGGATTCGGATTCGGGTCGAGTTAATGGAAATGGATGCAGACGTGGGTCAACTTCGCTAAACATTTATAGATATACACTACATTTTAGTGGTGAAAATTTTATTATTTTTGTTGTTCAAATAATTTTTTTTAATAAACATTGATATGTTATATGTATTTTTAAAATATATTTTTCTTTATATCAATATAATGATATCAAATTTAAATATAAAAATAAAATATTTTTGTATGTGAAAAATATCACAAACAAAGGTTATAAAAAAAATACTTCATTTGCCAAATAAATATCTCTTAATTTTTAACATAATAAAAATTAAATAAATATTTAATTTGATATCTTTCTATTTATAAATAATTAATTTGTAATTGGAGGAATTATATATAAGGTGATAATGAAATTAATGAATGAGAATTATGTTATACTTCTTCCGTCCGTCAAATTTACTCTCACTTTCATTTTTAGTCTGTCTCCTAGATTTAACTCATTACTATTTTTGACAAAGTCAAAAATCAACATTTAACTGTTATATTTCATTCAACACTTATTTACACTTGTTTACAAATGTGATTACCTTTATTACATTTTCTCTCCTTGTTTTTAAAACTTTTAACTTATTTTCCAAAAATACTCTCAACTACGATTTTTACTTTTATCACTTTTTCAATAAAATATTTATTTTTCTTAATCTCCACGTCGGACCCAAATATTCTAATTTTTGCGGAAAAATATTATAATGATATTGAATAAATTTTTTTAATATTTCCCTCGATAAATAGATATCCTAGTAAATTATAATCAATACTATTAACAAAAATATGCATACAGTAATTTATAATTAATAGTCGTATTAAACAAACATTACTGCAAATAGTTGTAAAATAATATCAAAAACATATATTTATAGGTTTCTTTGTGGTCGTTGTAGATATTTCCAAAAGCATACATTTTTTGCTTTCCTCCATTGCTGCATATAGTTGTAAAATAATTGGTTTATTCTTATAATATTTTAAATTAAAATTAATACTTTTTTCATCATATAAAATTATGTTTATTAAATTGAACATGAATTTTAAGAAAATTGGATTCAAATATAAATTTTTCTTTTTATGGTAAAAAGAAATAAGTAGTATAAATACCATAATTTTTTACTAAAAATAAACGAAAATAGATTTTGATGATAACAAATAAAAGAAATTAAAGAAAAATAAAAAAATTGGATGACATATAAAGTTGCATAGTTTTCAATAAAAATACATAATTTTTTCTTACAAATCATCATAACAAAATATTATTTATATAAAAACTCAAATTAACAATTCAATTTAAATCAATTTCAAATATTAACTCGTGCGGTTCATTAAAATATTTAAACTACAATCTACTGATACCTTTTATTTTTATCTTTCATAAATAAATAAATATTTATATATATATATAAATTATTGAGTTTGTTTGTTTAATGTTTTAGTTTAATTTATATTTTTCTATGTAAAATATAAAAATTTAGTAAGTAATATAAAAATAATATTTTATTTAAATAATAATTTTTTGTAAAATGGTAAAATATAATATAATACATATATTTAAAATCATGTTGAAAAAAAATATTAAAAGAACAAACTCATTGTTTTTTATAATCTAACTCATTGTCTTTTAAAATATATATATATTTTTTTATTTGTATTATATAAAATTTTATTATTTACAAGATATTTATATTCTATACACTAGAATATAAGTTTTAGAATATTTTAATAAATTTGTTCACCACACCTAAAATTTTCTACAAAATTTACAATAATATAAAAAAATAATTATACAATACATACACATCAAGAATGACTTATATATAATGCCAATATGTTTTTTCAATAGTCAAATTTAAGGAGAGCAAATACATTTGTATCATAAATTTATTTTTTAATTTAATATATAGTAAAAAATATTATACATTTATAAAAATAAAAAAAAAATAATATAATTTTATAAAATGTTATATTAAAATAAATATTATACGAAAACTTAAATTAAATTTTCAAATTTAAATTAAATTTTTTTTGAAAGCTCCATCATTTCAAAGGAGAATTTATATTGGATCTTGAATGTGATGAAATTTTATTTTAAATGCTTACACAATTTAACTTGTCACTGGCGTTGTAACGCGCGAGTCTTAGCCAGGCCAGGGAAAAGACAGAGGATATGTGCAAGTTAAAGGAGGAGATTTTGATTTTAATCCATGATTTGTACATGTCTTTTTATTTCATTAACCGGTAGACTACAAAAAATACAAAAAAAAAAAAAAAAAAATCAGATTTTGGAATCAGGTTTTATAAGTGAGTCAATAAATCCAAATTCATTTACCAATAGAAAATTTTCTTCCATTTGAATTCATTACAATAATTCTGTTAATTAGTTAATAGACCGTAAAAATGTTGTATTCATAAAGATCGAAAACAAAACAGTAAGAATAAATACTTATAAACAAGAACGAATGCTGGCTCAATGTTCTTTTTGAATATAATTTTTGTTTACTTTATATTTCTTTTATTATATTTCAAATAAAACAATCTAACACCTGATAATTCATTCCAATTCATAGTTCAAATAATAAAAAGAATCCCACAAATAAATATATATATCTTAAACATTCGAAAGGGATCCAAACGAAGCAACCAAACAAAAAAAAACCACACTTTCTCAATAAAACAAAAACAAAGAGTCGATCAACCACTAAACTCTAGTCTTTGCGGACAAAGTAAAGCTTACCGACGACGTGAAGTATGGCGACAAATGCAATGAAACCAATGCTCATGACAAGAACGACGTTGGGAGAAATCTTGAGTCCCGGGGCATCATCCGTGTAGAATTGGAGCATTGTCCCACCGGCTCCGCCAGCTCCTCCTGCGCCTCCGCCACCTGTTCTCCGTCTACGAAGATTAGCTGCCGCTGCAGCAGCAGTGCCTCGCTGTGGACCAGCTCCGCCTGTTGCCATGTCTGTGCATTGAATGTTTCGAGAGTTTTAGGGTCGATCAGTATGTGTAAAAGATGTTAGAAAACTTATGTACAAGATGCAAATGCACAAAAGCATCGATGATTGTACTACTTTCATTCAATTGAAATTTATAACCTGAGATGGGAGAGGTGATAGCTAAATATAGAATTATTGTATTATGTAAAAGATAAATATATAAAGAAGCAGTATATTTACTTATACACACAAACAAGCATGTATAATAACTATTTCAGCTCTTTGTTTACACAGATATTTTTGGAATTTTTGCAGCTATTTTATCAACAGTAACTTTTAAAAAAAAATCACGATAAACACAATTTTCTCTAACAAAATATCCCACCAAATACTAACCTTTTACTATTCTCCCAAAATTTTCCAAAACTCTAAAACTATCAAAACATCACACTATTTAGGTCATCACAATCACATACTATTATATAAATTTACAAACTAAAAATTTTAAGGCTTTGTTCTTCCAATATTTTTTTCCGACACAATTTTCAATATATATTTTATTCTTTCATAAAAGTCAACAATCAACATAAAATATTATTTTTTATATTACTTACATAATTTCCTATACCTCACATATTTGTTCTTCCACAATTCCCCATAACATATTTTTCAAAAAAATTAATAGAATCCTTATTTTTATATTATTTACACAATTTCCTACACCTCACATAAAAAAATGTATTTTCAAACAATATCAGTAAACAAACACACCAAAAATTTCAAATCAAAACACTAAACAAACAACCCGTAAGATGTTTTGTGATAGATCAATATAATAATTTCCACAATGTGCATATCATAGTATTATTTAGTTCAACGGACAAAACCCTCATTTTTAAAATCAATTATAACAACAAACGCTATCCATTTATCACGGGTGCTTGGTGGCATCGATTATATCCATTTTGGCACTATTTTTCTATAGAAAATATAAAATTCAACAACTATTTAAACATGCTACAAATAAAAGTAGAATCTATTTGTCACACTTCAATAAACCAAACTTGGTATGCAATTTAGGCGATTCGATATTGGATAATAACAAAATTTCCACTTGTGCAGTGCTATCTTTATAGAATGCAAGTTCATAATATAAGTTGCTATGATCCACTTGTATTTATCACCACACAAGTGTGCCAATCGTACAAATTTGTTGCTGTGGAAAATATTGAGTTGACTTGCATATCAGGAATGTTGAGAGGCATCAAATTAAACTGTAATATTGTGTGTGTGAAAAATCCCCAACAATGAATTTAACTTGGGATAAACAACTTGCAAATCCAATACATATATATGACTTCGAATCAAGAAGTACAGAGAACAACCATGGAGAAATCATCTGCAGGATTGAGTAAATGCTTAGAGAAATTATATATATATATTAATTGTTAGAACAATTCATTTTACAAACATATCAAAGCACAAATGAATCCAAATTTCAACGCCCAATTCAGCAGTATAAACAGTAAAATTAGCATAATTTATGAAGCATACAACAACATATCATACCAATCACATTCGGAAAAAAAAAAAAAAAGTTCAATTAGGGAAACATAGTTAACCAAAATCCACACCTACAAACCGGATGCAAAGATATTCCAGACGCAAACTACACGATTTCAATCAGATTGCAAAAACGCCATATTCATTTAAAAGAGAAACGGAATTACGGAGTCACAACTAATAAAAACTTTCAGATCGACAAATTACAGCGGCCTCATACGAAATCGATTTTACAAAATCATTAGCAGACTAAAACTACAGAAAATCAATACCTCGCCAAACAGCGTAAACAATTGCGATAAACAGACCTTGTTGGGAGAATCGATCGAAGTATGCCGAGGGAAGTCAGACGTTTCTCGCTGGAGTTTCTACTTCGGAGGGTTTTCGCAATTTCAGATCCAAGTATTATTTAGTAATACGAGTTCAAGGTGTAGAGTGGGCCGGTACGGATCTGGCCCGGTCCACTCTAACTCGAGAATTGGGTCCAGTTTAAAAAATCGGTCATAAACCTCCTGATTTATAACGTTAATTCCTTCTGGACCAAACATTCAAGAACCGGACCGGGCTGCTCAGGCCGGAATCGGCCCAACACTATATATGTTTTTTTTTAATGAAAATGTAATATTGTTCAAAAAAAAAAAATATAATAAACATTACTGCTCATTTTCATTGTTTTTTTTGTTTTAAAATGAAAACTTAATGTTAATTAAATAAAATATAAAATTAAGATACCATGTAAATCAAAACTTAAATTCAAACTAAAAGAAAAAAGAAAACCCAAATAAGCCTTTTACAATGGTGCGTTTGTGGGTTTTTAGATTGAATTTTATAATTTTAAAATATATTATTTTTATATATTAAATCAAATATTTATTTTTTAATTTATAATATTATACTTAAAATTTGATATATTTATATTATATTAAATAATTATTTTAATTTTAATTTACTATTCAAAATTTAAATAAAAAACAAAAGCCCCACAAACAAACACAATTTTAAGAATAATTGAATTTATATATTATTTATGTCCCGATTGAAAGATATATTTTTTACTATGTATATTTGTCTCACTTAAAAGTATTTATTTCGTATAGTAAAAATAAATATATACTAATACTAAAATATATATTTTCTAAATTTTTACATAAATTACAAAGACATAAAAAAATATATATTAATTATTGAAAATTTGTAATTTTTTTTTTTTTTCAGGTAAAACAAATTTTATTATTTGTTAAATATCTTGTGGAAAATGTAGTATATATTTATTGAAAAATATAAATATATATATTTTTTACTGAAATTAGTATACTTCTAGAAGAATCAACTCATTAAATTTGGTTTAAAATTGAATTTGAATTTAAATTATAAAATTTTGATTTTAAACAAATTCAAGCAAATTCATTGTGTGTGCAATTTCTTTTTTTCTATTACAATCGTATTTGTTTGCCTACGACCTCTTAGATTTTGTATTAATATTTCACAGTTCAAAATATTTCAAAAAATTAAAATTTACATGTATGAGAAAATTATATAATTTAAAATAATTGGATTTAAAAAATAAAATTATCAATGAACTTAGTAAATATTTTGTACTAATAGTAAATTAAAAAAAATTAATTAAATACTAGGGGCGTTTGTTTCACATTTAAAACGATCGTTAGAATGTTGATTTTTTTATATAACATAATTCAAATTTTTAAAAAGTATATTCAATTGCTCGGATAATAATTATGAAAAATCCAAATAATATATAGGTATATTTAAAAGATGAGTTTTCTTAACCTTTTTATTGGTATTTTATGAAATTTTGAATTAATGTTATTTAAGAAACTAACAAAGCAATATAGATTATAATATATACTTACTATGTTCAAAAATATACATATTTCTATTTTTAAACGTCAAATTACAAAATAACTATTTAATTAAACACTCTATTTTTTTTCACAAATATTCTTACTTTATGTCTCATCATACTTTTATTTAAAAAAAAAAGACCGAATATATCATTACATGGCACTAAAAATAAACGTATACTGTTTACAGTATTACCGTATTATAGTAGAATACTATACATATTTCTACGATTTGAAACATAATGAAGTATATATTTTATAGAACACCCAATATAATTTTTTAGATACTAGTTTAAAAAATAAACAGAGCATATTACTTTTACTTCATAAAACACAGTACTAACTAAATTAGATAGATCCAATGTTATTTAGATATTCAATCTTTGTTTTTAAAAAAGAATAATAATAAGAAAAAATAACACAACATTGACGTCTAAGCATATTGTTGAGTTTTTTTGGAACACCTGTAAATCTGCAAAATAAGGATTCTCAATATAAATTATTAGCAGATTACAAAATTAAGTGATTTCAAAAATCTAAATAAAGAATAAAGAAATTAAAACAAAAATTTGATCAAATCAGTAGGCTCAGATCACAGTCAATCCCCTTCACCAAACTCCAAGTCATTCTACGTCGCCGACACTACAAAATTTTGATCGTTGGTACCCAAAAAAATCCAGATCGATGGACAGAAATCGAACTGACTAAATTGGAATAAGATTGAAAATAACCTCCACAGAAGAACACCAGAACATTGATTTTACTGGTATTTTAAAGAATATAACAAACACAGAGGATGTGGGAAGAAGATAAACACCCAAAAGAATAGGGATATAAGCAAACCTATTGAGAAAATAACAGACACATAGGAGATGGGAAGAAGATAAACACCCAAAAAAACATCGGAACACCAAAAAACCTGTTGGTACCCAAAAAATCCAGACCGATGGACAAAAATCAAACTGACTAAATTAGAATTAGGTTGAAAATAACCTCCACAAAAGAACACCAGAACATCGATTTTACTGGTATTTTAAAGAATATAACAGACACAGAGGAGGTGGGAAGAAGATAAACATCCAAAAGTATAGGGATATAAGCAAACCTGTTGAGAAAACGATGTGATTCAAATGAAGAGATTTAAATCTGGTTTTATCGCATCGGTATAAGAACAGATTTGGGGGAAGAATGAACCCGTCTAAATTGCCGGGAGAGAACCAGATTCAGATTATATTTTGATAAATCGGGTCGGATTCGAGTCTTACGGGTCGGACAGAAAATATACCAACGTATATATGGTTGTGAGCAATACACGTCACCTAGATCAGACACATATTAAAAATACATTATATTTAAGAAGAAAAAAATTAAAAGAAAAATAATGCACCCTATCATCTTTCTAATTCAGTTATACAAACAAATGCAACAGTCTTTCAAATTCCAATGTTATTCAATTCATAAACGCGTGTAATTTCATTGTTTGTCGAAATTGGCTATTTATCACAAAAAATCAAAATGTTTTTCTTAAAAAAATAATATTTATAATTATTATTTACTATAATTTTATTATAATTACAATAATTGGAAATAAATAAATAAATTCTCACTTTTTTGTTTAAATGATTTTTTAAACAAGTGATAATGTATTAAAATTTTATTATCATTTCTTAAATATATGTACATAAATATCGTATATATAAATTGCTAACCAGTTGTTTATTTATATTATATTATATAGATTTCTATGTTTATAAATTACATTTTTATTGAAATTTAAATTTACCACTTATAAAATATTGCAATCAAATAAAAATCTGCAGTCATACGCAGATGTGTATTTGTAGGTTAAGAGTTAAATTTTAAAATTTTAAATAAATTTTTTTGATAAATATAATGATATACTAATATGTTAAATTCAAATTACTTTTTAATATAATATATTTTTAATACATTTTTATAAAAAATTGTAAATAATAAATATCCTTGTTACAATTTTCAAACAAACACAGCATAAGGTAAAAAATTAAAAAGGGGATGTGGATGAAGTGGGTAGGGGAGGGGGGCTTTGTGTGAAGCAAGGCACGTGAGATAGACACGTGGAAGACCCTCGTGTCCAGACCCCCTTCGTTCAGTGTAATACGTGTCCGCCTTTCTTACACATACATACGTATCTTTATCCGCTACGCAGTTCGTTCTACGTATCTATACGTATAATTATTGATCCGTGATATACGTATTTTATTGCACCAGGTCACGTGATTCATGTCGCGACAAAAATTCATGTCCCTACATTTTATTTTTACTCGACAAAGGAACGTCCTAAGGTGGTGGGGCCTCTTATAAATACTTTTTTTCGTTTCATTTTATTTGTTTATTATTTTTAATTTTTTTAAATTATATTTTAATTATATATTTTTTAAAAAATATTATATATTTTAATTATATTTTAAAATTGTAAATAAGTAACTTTTAAATTAATTACTTAATTTTATTAATTATATTTATAGAAAATTGGACATAAAAGATGAAAGAGAAATTATTTACTTATTCATATATATGTGACTATATAATTTGCTTTCTTAACGATTATCTATCACTACTAATAATTAGTGCTAAATCTGACTATCAAATAAATATGTAAAAAATAATAAAACTTAATTGGTAAAATTTGGGTACTTTTAGTTTATTTTTGTATTTTTTGAGTAATGTGATTAGATAATAAATGTATTATAAATATATTTTTATATTAGATATAAAAAATTATATTTAAATATAAATATTTTTTGAATAAAAGAATATAACAATTATATATTGAATTTTATTGTAATTTAAAAAAAATATGTTAATTTTGTTGGATAAATATGTTTACTGTTAACAAAAAAAAATAAAAATAAACATTCATCTACGTAGGTATTTTCATGTAAAAAAATATTAGTTTCCCAAATACTTTTAGCACTATGCTTCAATATTTTTCTCAAATATTTCTATTAGTTGGATTCACTTATAAAATTATGTTCGGTTATAATTTGAGTTTTGCACTTATACAATTGATATTTCAAATGAAATTTAATTTTATGTATGATGTGAACGTTGTCACTTTTGTCAAATAAAAAAATAGTAAGTAAAAAGTACGAAAATAATAATTTATTAATTAAGTTCGAATATAAAATCCTATTATAAGAATACCAATTTAAGTGAAATCTTTCAACCAAATAATCTTATAATTGGATTGAGTTTTTCTTCCAAAATTTAACTGAACTCCTTTTACTATCTACCACTCAAAACTCACAAACATTTTTACAAATCTGTGTATCCAAATGTTGGTTGGATTTGTCCCCAGTAAGACGACTCATCAATGCCGCAATATTTAAATATTGTCTCAATCATATAATATGATTTGCTAATTGAAGGTTTTAAATTAAATTTTCAATTTTGTTCAATTTCAAACCAAACTCACTCTAAAGAAATCTAGAATATCAACTTTAATCCCAAGCTCTTGAGTCACGATAAACTATCTACCTCACCTCTAGTCTATAACTAAATATTTGTAAATCGAATTTTCTTTTTTTTAACTGTTTGATTTATCTGAAATATCGGTGTTTTTTTTTCTTTTAATTAAGTTGAAAGTCAAGTTGAGATACGTCAGTTGGTGTAAACTAGCTAATTGTTTCACTTCAACCAATTAATTTTTTGTCGCTTACTCCAACTAACGTGGGATGGATGTTACAACATCTTCACAATTTTCTTGTTAATTAAGTATATTTATAAAAGAATTT